TACACACACACATACACAGACATACATGCACACACATTTTGTTGCAGATATAGATATTTGAAATAAATGACAGGTGACACAAAACTTATTGCAAGTCTTCTCTTTTTAAGAGTTTATATGTCATTTTTAGGTTTCACTGTAATCATAATCTGGCATAATTAATAAATAAAAACTGATATGTCTGTATGAACAAAATGGTAAACTTTGACTCAATGTGATTTTAAATGTTATAACAGTGATTTTATAATGTCTAAGCATGAATCCATCAAACCTATGAACAGTACTGTTTGAGTGAGTTGAATTAGTGGTCCATTAGTGGTCTTCCGCTGCCATCTAGTGGTTATAAATGCAATTTCTCATACAACACTGTCTTTAAAATTTATAACTATTATAGTGTTATTTTTTTGCCCAATCTCTCTTAAATTTTGCATGCTTGTTTAAAATGAAATTATGCATCAATTTACACAGTTTTGAGAAGATACCTTCTCAACGGTTGCGTATAGTCGTTTTTTATGTTTTTTTACATTTTATAGCGCCACCAAGTGGCAGAGCTGCACAATTGTTTTTTATTTAACCAAAGATTGAGCTCTTACACATGTCTACCGAGTTTGGTGAAGATATCTCATTCCGTTCAGGAGTTATAGCCATTTTTGTAAAATTGGCCGCGTCTCTTTCGTACGCAACCGTGAGTCGAAATGTCAACTTTTTTTGATAATTATTGATATTCACTGACCAGGGAATATTTCTACACTTGTTTGGTTCCGATCGGACGAAAACCTAGGACTAGTTCGCAAAAGTAGGTTTTGGACATAATTCAAATTTGCGGAAAAACGAGACTTCCTAGACCCAAAATCACAGCGACCATTTTTAATTTGCCTTGACCCAAGGATTCCAAAAATGTAAAATTTTTGAGTCTACGACAAGTGGTTTAGGAGTTATTAGCACTTACGCGTTTTTGATCGCTGTAGCGCCACCTATTGGCCGATTGGGGTGAGTCTTTGTCAGAATGTCCCCTCAGGGAGCTCTACTTTCTGGCCAAATTTCAGCTCTCTAGGCCTTACAGTTTGGTCTGCACGATCAGTTTTAGCGGAGAAAAATAATAATAATAATAAAAAAAAAAAAAATCCTAACAATTACAATAGGGTTTCATCACTATGTGCTTGAACCCCTAATTATGCAGGTAACATGTAAAGTGCATTAACATGCGTAACTACGTCACACTAAGTGGCCTTATCTACTATGTACTTACATCAAAGAATAAATAGAATGTACTTATTGTGTTCATATTGTATTGTAAAACACTTCTGCTGCTATTGAGGTGGGATACGGGTAAGGTTAGGGACAGGTTTGGTGGTATGGGTAGGTTTAAGGGTGGGTTAAGGTGTAAGGGATGGGTAAACAGTGTAATAATAAATGTAATTACATAAATTAATTACAGATGTAATTACATGCAGGTATCTTTAAAATATAAGTACAATGTAAAAATATTTATGGTACACAATAAGTGCATTGTACCAAATTATTAATTTAAATGTGAGTACATAGTAGTTAAGGCCACTTAATATAAAGTGGGACCCTTTACTGGGCGACCTTGTTTCTTATTGCAGTTGCTGACATTTTCATGCTCACATGACATGGAAGATTCAGTGATTCATAGATGATTATGTGTAATGATCCAACGCATTAAAGGCATTTTTGTATTGTAGGGCTCTCTGCTGGTTTTGACCACTCTGACCAGTCCAGTGTCTTTGAGAAACAATGTGGACAAACAGTTCTACACGCTGATGTTGATGTGTGTGCTAGTGATGCCAAACCTGCTGATGTTCCTGAAGTCTCTGTGGAAGTGTGTCTTCAAGAGCTATGTGGCCCCTAACCCAAGGACACTGGGAATCGTGAGTTGACATGATGCAGATTAACATATGAGAACACTCCATTCCCCAGTATTATATAGAAAAAGCATGCACAAGTCCAGCAGTTCCTAATACGTGGGCATGTAAGTGGGTAATGAGGAATGAAAAGGGGAAGTTGCATGTGATGCATTGGCCCGTGAATCAAACGGGTAGAAATAGATGGATAAATTACAAAGTAAACAGCTCACTTACTCAGATATCACTGCTTTCTGATAAGTCCAAATCAATCTTGAAATGACTTCAAGTAATGTGAGGCTGGAGTGAGTAAAATGAAAGGCACATCTCCATGTGCAAGACCATCATAACACCTGCAGTGTTTACTGAACATGTTGATGACTAATGCAAAAATGTTAGGTATACACAACATCTGAAATTTGTTACATTATTCTTATAAAGCAGGGGTTTCCAACCCTGTCCTGGATATCTACCTTCCTGCAGACTCCAACCTGCTCTAACAAACCTGTCTATAACAGCTTTGATTGTGTTGGAGCTGAACTCAACAGCGTAGGTGTTCAACCCTGCTCCTGGGGACCCACTGTCCTGCAAAGTTTCTTTCCAACCTCCTTCAGCTGGAGCTGGAAAGTGGGTCCCCAGGAGCAGGGTTTAAGACCAATGCTCTGTAGCTCTTTGGATACCCCTCCTTTAAAGCACCACTAATAAAAATATTAAAGCTAAAATGTGAGCTGACATACTCTCTGGATGGCTAACTGATCTACTAGTTGACCATCCTGATCTAACCCTTTGCCAAGGTGGTCTACCTGCACTAACCCGGCAAGTTTATGCACCTAGATACCTGTAGCCCTGGGAACTGGTTGTCCAGTTAATCAACCACTTAGACCTGGTTGAACCAACCAAAGAGCTTGAAAGACCAGCTTTGAAACCTATGCAAAACCAAGCTGAATTTATTTGGATTTTCCAGCAGGTTAGACATACCAGACGACCATTTAGCGTAGGATGCCGACTCAGTCTGCTCATGCTGTTATATAATAACGATGAATTGATGGCAGAGGAGTAACTCTTGGTGTAGCTCCTGTACTTCAGACATTCATGAACTGATGAAATGTGTACCTTGAATGCTATGGAAGTCTCAGTGTGTACACATGTAATGATTGTTGTCAATGCTTCTGCAGATGTGTGGGATTGAGAGTCTGGTGGCCGTGGGGACTGCGATCCTGGTGCTCATTGTGATGCCTAAGCTTGATGTTCTCACAAACCTCAGCATCCCCGGAGGCATCTGCATCCTTTCAGCCGTGCTTCAGATCGCCTTCCGATTGCAGACACAGAGCTGGATGATCCTGTACCCCATATGCTCCCTCATCCTAGTGCTCAGCGGCTACGTTCTACTGGTGGTCGACTACTATGTGAGAGAGTCCTCTTATGTGCCAGGACAAGTAGAAGGTTGCTACATTTATGTAGGCATTGCAATTTTTGCAACGCTGCTGGTTTCTCTGAACTGGTGGGAGAACCCTTTTCAGGCCAGCACTAACATTCAGGAAATGCTCAGCGAACTGGACACTTTCCGAGATGCCATTTATCTGTTCACCAGCCTCATTCGAATAGCACTGACCTTGGGGGTGTACTTTCTGTATTACTGCCTGATTGTTGAAGCCGATGCTCGCATTAACTGGGATGCTTTCACCAAAGCCAGTAAAGGCACGGTAGAGATAGGCCTTGGGCTGTTTTTCCTGCAGGCATTCTGCTCTGCTGCCTGCCACTGGTTCGGAGTCGTGGCCTGCAAGATCCACTCGATGACGTTTGCTTTTGCTCTGCCCGTGTCGTTAACTGGTCCAGCGACGCTAATCCTGGGCATGATACTGTTCTTGACACAAGCTGAGATGTTGGTCCCTTCCTCACAAACTGCTAGCTTATATAGCTCTGGCGACAATTTTACAGTTAAAACTCCTTTCTGGCCATTTTGTCACGAACTTGAAACTCTCAAAGACGTCAACACCACCCCAGTCGTGATGCTGGAAATTTCCTATAGTATCTGCAAAACGTCACTCAACAACCCGAACGCCATGTGGCCTTTCTCCATGCTGGCGCTGGAGGGGGTCTGCATGTGGCTCGGCCTGGTCTCATGCACATATTACGTGTGGAGAATCAAGGTGCAGAGGATTGAACGCACGTCCCAACTTTTCGTACGCCGCTTGTATGAATCCGCCTTCATTGACCTCTCTATGCTGCTGAACACGAAAATGAAAGCGGTTCGTACGGCAAACAAGGAGAGGTACATATTACACCATGATGTCTATGAAATGATACACATAATACAGTACAAGTGCATGAATTTAGTCAAAATCTGACTGTTTCCTTTCCTTCTTTCTGTCGTGTAGTAGCGGTAACGATGAAGTGGAAAACTGTGTCATTTACCTTTGTGCAACAATGTGGCATGAAACATATGATGAGATGCTGAAAATCATGACTTCAATGTTCAGGTATGTATACAGTGATCACAAATATATTTCAGCTCAAAGCCCAGTTGACTGAAACCCCTTAAGCAAAGAAAACACCTAGCTGCAAATGATCGCTAAGACTTTTCTTCACCTAAGGGGCTTCAACCAACCAGCTGCAATTCTTCATTCGTTTGGCTTGTTTGTTGGTTTCAGATTGGACAGATACCGAGGGGATCCGAAGGAGGAACACAAGGACTGCTTTGACTTTGAATGCCATATTTATGTTGACGATGGCTTCATGATAGAAAAAGACACTGAGAAAAAGCTTGTCAACACCTATGTTTGCGATCTTATACAAGTAATCATGGAGGTGTACAGGTAAGGCAAAGGTTTTCTGTCCGTGATCAGCGAACAGACTGATGTTAATGGTATTTCACAACCAACTGTAAACTAAATATCACTGTTTTTGTCTTCAAGGGTATTTACAAATAAGGAGCCCGATGAAGTTTCCATCATTGAAACACCATATGGGGGTCGTCTTGTGATTGTCATGCCAGAGGGAAACATGCTTTACATCCACATTAAAGACAAAGAACTGATTCGAAACAAAAAGAGATGGTCACAGGTGAACATCACAATCGTATTCCTTAGTATGAAAAATAATTCAGTCTTTGCAACACTGTTAATTTTGAACATTTACCTGAATCTGACTGAGCATGTGTGCATTTTCAGATCATGTACCTGTATTACCTGCTTGGCTGGAAAGGATACAATGTCAAAAACCCTCAGAAAATAACAGTAAGTTTTTCTATTTGATTTTCCTTTAGTATTGAGCATTCGGTCACTAGTGATGTTGGATAAGTCAAGCTTCACTACTGCTATTGCTCATATGTTGGTTTACTGATTCAAATAATCCCCTATCCCCCTTTGGGCCATGTGCATAAATCATACCACTTTAAAGTGATCAAACATGGACAAAAAAGGTCCCACACACTTATATTGAAGGAGGGACCTGAGCCATATCTAGAGACTGGAGAGACGCAAAGAAGGACCCTTTTGACCCAAGGCAAACCTAGAAACAGATGACCTAGGGAGCACATATGGCTGAAGATAACCGTTTTTGACACTGTGTGTTCTTACAGAGACAAAACAACCCAAGTCGTGCCAGTCTCATATCATTAGATGGTGAGAGTTATTTGCTACCTTCGTATGACAATGACAGCAAGAGGAGGCATATATCTGACGAAAACACATATATCATGGCCTTGGATGGAGACACAGACTTCCACCCCGCCGCTCTGATTCTGCTCGTCGATCGTCTGAGAATGTATGACACCGTGGGCGCAGCCTGTGGACGCATCCACCCCACTGGAATGGGTAAAAATAATCTGTATTCAGAGAGAAAAATCAAACAACCGAACACAAATTGTCATATTTTGAAAAAAACCTTTGCTTATAGGGAATGTAGAATGTCAAATTTCATAACAGTATTGCATAAAACTCACAAAAACCTGTACATGACTTAAAAGGAAGAAAGAAGGTGCGGTCTGGATCTATAGCAGACAATGACGTGCCCTTTTATAGGCCTGCTATTCAAATGCTGATCAACATACAAAGTCCACTTACATAAACGCTTCCAGGCAATCACCGCAGATTTATATTAACACTGCATACTAGAAAGAGCCTATCAAGATCATCAGAAAGCTAATCTCAACAACAAATGACAGCCAGCATTTACAATATGATAACAGTGCTCAGCTACCTGAAAGACATAACCTGAATATAAAAATGCTCACATGCAGTATGCGCACCACCCTCCATTCATGTTCTACGTCCCCATGTTTCAGGCCCAATGGTGTGGTATCAGAAGTTCGAGTACGCAGTGGGTCACTGGCTTCAGAAGACAGCAGAGCACGTGTTTGGCTCAGTTCTGTGCAGTCCAGGCTGTTTCAGTCTGTTCAGAGGATCTGCACTGATGGACGACAACGTCCTGAAGCGATACACCACCAAAGCCACACGAGCCTCTGAGTATGTGCAGTATGATCAAGGTAAACATGCCTACGCTCAGAATCCCGTCCTGTTTCTATAGCATTGGATATCTTACTAGCATGCTAACCATCCACTAGAAGTCTTGTTTATGCTTAAAAAATACCTTGCAGTTACATTATCTTACACATTTGTCTTTACTGTCTTTACTATCTTGTCATCCAACGAAGCATAGAGTATATCTGATTAGCCTGGTATGTATTGACACTTGTCATGTCTAGTACTGCAGTGTTTGTAAATGCCTAATAGGTGGAAATGTGTCTTCTTTTGGGACTGATTTCACCCTACTGCAGGGGAATAGCTAAAAAGGCTTATCCCATGTCAATGCCATGTTACCAGTTAATATTTAACAAAGAATATTTAGGGCCAGATTTACTAACAGCTTGTGTCAACGCAAACCATCTTTTGGCGTTAAAATAGTGCTGTCAGGATTTACTAAAGACGTGCAGTAAAGAATTAGTGCTCAAAAGGCGTGGACAGTTATTTTTGCACCTGACTTTATTGAATATGCATTTGTAGGGGTTTCCCTTTCAGACGCAAAATTTATGGGAGTTTATGGGAGTCAATCTAAATTTAAAAATGTTCCCCTCCCATCGGTGCTTTTATGGAGTTGCGCTCTAATGCTAATTTGCCCTGTTTAGTAAATCTGGCCCATAATGTCTACACATATGACATGGATCTAATATTTTACATCAAAATTCAGAAGCAGCTAGCAATGTAATTTAATAAACATGATAAGGTTACATCAACTTTTGTTAACATTTTTTTTTTCAGTGCTTCTGTTCCGTAAAGTAGATGGTTACCAAGACATACTGCATCAGATGTTTCTGTGTAGATGATTCTGTATGGTTCCTCTGAGCTCCACCAGTTAATCATGTTACTCATCTGCTCACATTTAGGTGAGGACCGTTGGCTGTGCACTCTTCTCCTGCAGCAGGGCTGGCGGGTGGAGTATAACGCTGCTTCAGATGCTTTCACCAACTCACCGCAAGAGTTCAAAGAGTTTTACAACCAGAGGCGTCGATGGGGTCCTTCAACACTGGCCAACACTCTCGATCTGCTCCATAGCGGGAAAGACACGGTCAAGAGGAACACCTCCATATCCATGCTCTACATCTTATATCAGACCTTCACTGTGGCTTCCTCCATCCTGGGACCTGCCTCTGTCACCCTCATGGTAGCAGGTAAATATTCAAAGAATGGGTAAGGACGTATTATGGAGGTTTGACTACCCTGCTGGAAATGTCAGTTAAACCAGCTTCTGAAGGAGCTGAGGCTGACCTGGTAGACCATTCGGTCAACCTGTTTAGGGCTTGTGTATTGCCCAATCTGGTAGAGACCTGGTTGAGCTGGTTAACATGCAAGACAAAGCTTGGTTTACCAACCTGAACTTCTTAGGCTGGTATGACCTGGTCAAAAATACATCTCTGTGAATATATAAATGTATGGAAACTGCTAATTTTCTCTTTCTTTTCCATTTTAGGAGCTTTCCAATTTGTTTTTGGAATTGAAGGCACTCTTTCTATAATAATTGCTGTTGTACCTCCAGCTGTTTACATGCTCATATGTTTTTTGGCCAAACCCAACTTCCAAATCACAATTGCTGCCATTCTCAGTGTCATATATGCATTCCTGATGACTGCATCCTTCTTTTCCATTATTGGTAAACATTGCTAATTATCATTTTGTGTGTGTGTGTGTGTGTGTTTAAAACATGCTTGGTGATATTCCATTTCATTGAATGTCTTATTTTAGGTGACATGGTTAAACAGGAAACATTTATAACTCCTACTGGACTCTTCCTGGTGTCTGGTGCGATCCTTTACATGGTGACAGCCATTCTTCACCCTCAAGAGTGCACTTTGATTATCTACGGTCTGATGTACTTCATTTGCATTCCCAGTGGATATCTCCTCCTCACCATATATTCCCTTGTCAACATGCACATTGTATCTTGGGGCACTCGAGAATCCAACAAGGCGAAGGAGCAGAAAAAGCAAGTGGGTGCTGTGTGCAATCGTGACTGCAAAATGTGCTGTTGGGATGTGAAAATCCAAGTCACTCAAGAGACTGAAAATCTAGTCCTTCAACAAATCCAGCAAGCCGTCAATCCAAACACACCTGCTGCCAAAACCGAGCCAGAAGAGCCGAAGGCTCAGAGCAACCATGATGTCCAGAACAGCTTAGATGCGAACAAACACATCCTTGACTACATCGAGGAGATGCCTCGTAAGAAGGACAATTCCAAAGAGAATCTCAACAAGGACAATGAGGAAAAAGACAGTTGCTCTGATAGAAGGTAAAGACTATGAAAATATCTTAGGATTACATTTGCCATGCTGCTGAAAAGTTCTTATATTTCCCCAACTGTTGCTTCAAATGAATCTTACAGTGGGAGTTCCAAAAGCTGTGAGAAAAAAGCCGACCCATTTAATGATGACACAGACTATGATGATGATGACGATGACGATGATGATGATTATTACAATGATTACGATACTCTGGAGCCGAAAGAAGTTGTGCCTGAGAGTGGTAAGACATGACATCTTTTAGATCCATTCCTACAGGTCTCTTATCTAGCACACGTGATTCATGATTATCTTGTCAGCACAATGTTCTATGAACTAAGTTAGTAATGGAATTAGTAATGGAATGAGAATCTCTGATTCAAACCGCATAAACTTCTCAAATGTACCCTATTCTGAGTGTAGGGTTGGCCTGTGCACTGAATTATTTGTTTACGTTGTTCTTATTCAAACGGACAGACTGGGTGGAGCCCGTGAAGAAAGAGTTCCTGAAGAAACTGACGTATGCAAATCTGAAGAGAAACCTTCAGGAGCAGATCCGATACACACTGAGAAACAAGAACCAGGAGGATCTGTGCGAGGAACTGGTGCTGATTCTCACCGACACCCTGAACGAGGAGCTGAGGGATAAAGTGGGTCCCGAGGATGTCTTGAGTGTGAGTCAGCTGGAGGAACTGCAGTATGCTCTGAACGAAGCCGCCAGGCGCATCGTGAAGACAAACCGCATCGAGAACGGAGCGCAGCGACTGGAGCGGCGTGTCAAGAGGGCAATCGAAAGAACCCTTGTGGCTCCACAGGTTGAGAAACTATCTGAGGTAATGATTTCTGGATGGTTCATGTTCTAATGAGATTTACACAAGTAGGACATGTTCCTGGATTGTTCCATTCCCATCAATGCATCAACATTTACCTCATGGGTGTCCAAACTTTTTTAAAGGGGGCCAGGTTCGATGATGTGAACACTCCGGGCGGCCGGATGCTTCTCCCTATATATATTAAAGTTATTAAAATCTATCCAATGTATGCAGAGTTGTGGTCACAATTAAGAATATGGGGCTACTGGGACTACTGATATAAACTTCTTCTATTTTATATTTACAATAAGCAAAATAATGAAAACATCAATGGGAAAAAGTGGAGATATGGTTAGAAAGCATGAAGCTCGCGGTGTAAGAATACCAGACACGCACATTTCAGCGTCTTCTTTTCTTCTTAATGGTGTTTAGCAAACCCACTTAAAAGTGGGGCAAGCGATTTCTGGTAGCCAATGTTGATATTTCAAACCACCAAAAATTATGGCCACGAATTAAGAATTCATTTTTTCGTTTAGTCTAAATTATGGCCACGAATTAAGTATTCGTTCTCTTGTTTAGACTTAGCTGGCACGAATTCATTCGTTCGTTAATTCGTTCATTCGCTAGTTTTAGTAGGCCTAAATCGTGGAACGAATTATTATATTTCGTAATCACTTATTAAAATCATTATTGCTTAAAATTAATAAATAATAATAAAAGTTCTGTGAAACAAAGCAAAACCTATGTTACACCGTGTCTACACCAGATGCGAGCGGCGCGGCGTGACAAAATACTATAGAACTCATTATAATCAGTGATGCCGTCTACACTGGATGCAGGGCGGTGCGTCACGACAAATCCCCGACAGAAAACTGCTGCTGTGTTCTATTTATGACGTGTTGACACAAATTTCAAATGATATTCAACAGTCGCTTTGTCGCGTCCAGTGTAGACAGACTTTAGCTGTTGCGGCGCATTACTCACCTATCGAGAAAAAACATAGCAACCTCGGCGTCTGATCGCAGGCCTTCCCGCTCCTTGAGTTCTCTCCAGCGCTGGAAAGCTGATCCGATATTTACACGGGTCCTACTTCTTGCCTTATCGTAAGCCTTCTTTTGTTCCGCAGATTTCCTCTTTTGTTTTGTATCCGCCATAACGTTATATCTTCCTGTCGCTCAGCTCGGCTAATGTCCGTCCTGTGCACTGAACACTCTCTCATCTGCATCATGAGTAGACACGCTGATTGGCTACAAGTTTGTTTTGGTACTTGGCCAGACTCAAGTTTTCTCAAGCGTTTTAAAAAAAATACATACCCCACTTTAAAGGCGCATACCGCCTCCTACTGTACAACACCAGCATGACAGCTGATGTAAGATAATAATCGGGCCTGGGAGAGCCGAAACGATCAGTTAAAAAAATGCTTGATTGGCCCCGATCCTGATCCTAAAAGGGTTAGTTCACCCAAAAATAAAATCTGTCATTAATTACTCACCCTCGTGTCGTTCTAAACCTGTAAGAAATTAAGATATTTTTGATTAATCCTGACAGCTCCCTAACCCTCCCACAGACAGCAATGCAATTACCACAACAGTAAAATAATCCATGTGACATCAGGGGTTCAACCGTAATTTTACGAAGCTACGAGAATACTTTATACAATACTGTGTCATGCGGATACGTTGTTTTTGTTCAAATCAAAGCATACACAACATAGAAAACGACGCAGCTGACACAGAATAGCATACGCTGTTTACGTTCAGTGGATATTCTCCAAAATGGCAGCAGGGTGACGCGGAGGAGACGAATTGTTGAATAAAGTCATTATTTTAGTTTTCTTTGCATACAAAAAGTATTCTTGTAGCTTCGTAAAATTACGGTTGAACCCCTGATGTCACATGGATTATTTTACCGATCTCCTTGCTACGTTTCTGGACCTTGATCGTGGTAATTGCATTGCTGTCTATGGGAGGGTCTGAGAGCTCTCAGAATTAATCAAAAATAGCTTAATTTGTGTTCCGAAGATGAACGGAGGTCTTACGGGTTTAGAACGACATGAGGGTGAGTAATTAATGACAGAATTTTCATGTTTGGGTGAACTAACCCTTTAAGATTGGCTCGGGACATCCCTAGTTCAAATCATGGTCAAGCCTCATGTTAATGGCTAAGTGATAAGTCTAAGGTTAGGGGATTTGTGTATAGTCAACATTCAGGAATTGTTTTTGGGTATGGAGATATGGTTGGCTTTGACTGGTTGACAGGAATAGTGTTCCTTTATAGTAAGACCAACAAAGGATGTTGTATGTCCTAACTACTCAAATCTCAGTGAGCAATGAGAGCTATCAGATGTTATCATTTAGCTTCATGGTAAGGGCTAAGGGTAGGGCCTGGAACTAAACCAGTTATGAGTAGGAATTGATTAGGAATTTGGTTTACAAAGTTAGGTTGGCTTTAACTGGCTGACAGGAATACTGTTCCAAGATTGACAAATAATGTAGACTCATTTGGGTTAATCATGTTGGGAAAAGCTTCAGTAGATTTTCAATGGATAAGTAATGCATTTGGCTAAATTAACTGGTTGACTGCACTCAAAATGTAAAGTCTTTTATATGCAGCCACATTATATATATGTTTCCTATTTTACCAGGATGAACACGATTTCTGGAATAAACTGATAGAGCGTTATCTACTACCCATTCAAGATAACAAAGCTCACCTCGAGGAAGTGACACGGGAACTAAAGTCGCTACGGAACAAGGTAAGGTTGGCAAGCGAAAACTTCATTGCTCCTGGCCCGTAACTCTATATACTAAATGAGAACTATTCTCTGTTTTGCAGGCAGTGTTTTTGTACTTCATAATTAATGTCCTATGGATTGTAGCGACGTTCTTCCTTCAGGCCATTGGCACTGATGTTCTGAGCATCAATATTCCAAAGTACTATCCTAACGGAACTTTGGCACCAGATCCCTTGAGGGTGGAGCCTTTGAGTTTGATGTTTCTGCTGTCATTCGCCCTTCTGCTCATCATCCAGTTCTTGGCTATGCTTTACCACAGGTAAAACACGCATCACATACTGCCACATTGGCACCTGAACAAGCAATCTACTAAAGCAATTAAGCAGAGTGCCTAAAACCCCCTTAGCTGTTATAAATTCACCGTAAACCACGGCTTCACGGGGCTTATTGCTTTTATAAAACAGTTATTCCATATACATAGAAAGGTTTAAATAAAGTGTAATGATATTAATAAAAACAGTATTCTTCCACCAAACAATGTAGCTCCTCAGAAACAGTTGTGGTTGCTACAAAGTGGTTGCCGAGCAACACACAAACGTAAACAAAGGTGTATGTTACTTTGTAGAGTAATTTACAACAGCTTCGAAACGCGGCTCAGCCAATCAGAATCAAGCACCGGAACTATCTGTTTTATAATATTATATATACTGCCGTTCAAAAGTTAGATTTTTAATTTTTTTAATGGAGTCTCTTATGCTCATCAAGACTGTATTTATTTGATCAAATATACAGAAAAAAAACATTAATATTGTGAAATATTTTTTGCAATTTCTAATATTGGTTTCATATTTTAATATACTTGAAGATATCATTTATTTTCTGTGACAGTGCTGTATTTTCAGCATCATTACTCCACTCTTCAGTGTCACATGATCCTTCAGAAATCATTCTAATATGCTGACTTATTATCAGTGTTGAAACTGTTTATTAATATTTTTTTGGAACCTGTGATACTTTTTCGATTCTTTGATGAATAAAAAGTTAAAAAGAACAGCATTTATTAAAAATATAAATCTAACAATATGTGTTTACTATCACTTTTTATGAATTTAACACATCATTGCTAAATAAATAATAAGTACTAATTTCTTAAAAATAAATACTGACCCCAAACTTTTGAATAGTGTATAAATTTATATTTTGAATAGTTATTTTAAACTTTTTTTTATCAAAGAATTATGAATAAGTTTCACAGCCCCCCCACCCCCCAATTATGCAATAATATTTCACAAAATTAGTTTGTTTTTTTCTGTATTTTGGATCAAATAGATACAGCCTTGATGTGCATAAGAGACTTATTTAAAAAAAAAAAAAAACATTAATAATCTTACTGATCCCAAAATGTTGAATGCCAGTGTACACACACACACACACACACACACACACACACACACAAATATATGGAACTTGATTATTTGAGATGTAAAGCCCTGTTGTCTCCCATTACAGAGTATACACCCTCATCCATGTGGTCTCATACAGAAGCACAGAGAAAGACTACAAAGAAAAAGATGAGGCGAGTAACTGTGCTTTTTTGTGCTGTGTGAAGAATTTCCTTCTAAGAAGTGGACTGCATTTTTACATTGATTTAAACTTGGATTAGCACATTGTTTTTACAATGTTTTTGTTCATCGCAGGAGGACGAAGAGGAGGGATTGATCCTGGGGAATCCCGTTAATCTTACCGTCACTGCTGACGACTTGTGAAACGCTGATTCTTTCGCTCCTAGTTAGTGAAGTTACAGGTGAAGTGAATTTCTCATGCATGAAGAAGAAGAAGCCAGATCAACACCACATGCCTGAAACTGGAGCTGGGATTTGTTTACTGTAGATGTTTGCACTGAATAAACTTCATTTTTATAAGCATTCTCTGAACAATGTATTATCGTTTGATTACTTGCAAGTTAGTTATTTCTGTGTTAATGTATTAGTTTGTCAAATATTAAAAGTTCTGAAACGAAGTGGTCTGGGCAAGCTGGTTTCTGTGGAAAGCACATTTCACTCAATCCTGTCGTCATTTATTCACCCTCATGTTTTTCAAAAAGCTCCATGCCTTTACTCCATAGAACGCGATTTATTTGTAGAATATCCTGACCATTTTCCACATGAATTCAATTATCTCCATTATGACAACAGCATACATGTTATGCAATGTCTTCTGAAGGTCTCCGATAGCTTTGTGTGAAGAACAGATAAGATAGAGAGACGGATAAATATAGTCAAAAGAGCAAAAGCATTATTACGTGTTTTATTGTTTCTCCGTATTCATTTTTAACACACACTGATTGCATTACGTATGGAAATATATTAATCAAGTATTTCTACATTACATACAAACGTAACCTTCAAAGCTGCGTCACAACCAGGCTTAAAATGTTATATGTGTAACAGAGAGGAAACAGCATAAAACCAGTCATCTATGTTTATGAACGGTTATTTATTGTGTTGAAACAGATCAGATTGGCGGATCTCCTAAGAAGCTTGACCGTGAGCGCTATGCACATAAACCTTCATCACTTGGCCATCTTCTTCTCCATGCTGAGGAAGACAACGAGAAACAGACCTTATAATAGTCAGCCTAGCCTGAACACATAGACCAGATAACACTAGAAATCAGAATGAAGTGTGAAAGCTCTTGCTTGTATTTGATGAGTCTGCTGCCCTGAACGAGCTGAGCCGCTTCATTGGTGAAGTGGCAGGCGAACAGAAGCCAGTTTCTGGGCTGGACCTTGTAGGCGAAGCGCATGAACAGCAGCGAGTAGCAGGTGAGAGCTGTTAAAACAAGAGCGAAAACACCTCCGTTGACCTTTGACCTCACAGTATCGGGCTGTTGCGCAAGCTGTCGCTCTGTCACGTACCGAAGGTCATTCTGCCGCTGATGATCTCTGGACTCTTCTTCATGTCGCTGATGGCGGCGATGGGCAGGCCCCAGTTTGCCACCGGACCCCAGAAATGCTGGAATAACATGACACACGAAGCCTGTAACAACCGCACATGTGCGTGCTATGAGCCTTGATTAGATTACACCGTGATGCTGAGGACTTACTGTGCTGAGGCGAGTGAAGATCCCACAGGAGGAGCGGGTCGATCGTGAGAGGAAACCATCGACACAGTCATGAAGTTAAAACAAGCACTTTCTTAATCACAACCAAATACAACATATCCCATACAGATGATCAGTGTACAACAGCAAGCGTCTGGTCGTTCAAAATAAACAGACATGAAGACAAAAACTGGCTTGATTTAATAAAAAAATAATAATAATTTTTAAACAACGGCGCTGCAACATTTTTACAAAATGTACAATTATTTACTAAATAAAGCTCTTAGAACAATGTTAAACTTAGTCAATAAAGCCACTTTCCTGCCATAAAACCAATGCAATGCAATGCAAAAAAAAGATTTTCTTACTTAGTATTCTTGTCTTGTTTTCTAGTATAACCGTGTAAAAATCCGTGAATCAACATGAATTTACTTGACAAGTAAAATGACTTAAAATAGGTCTTGTTTACTTCAAAACAAATCTCAATTTAGTTTTTTTGTTTGCTTAAAACAAGCAAAAATACCTGCCAATGGGGTAAGAAAACAAGACGTACTATCTTAAGTCGTTTTACTTGTCAAGTAAATGCATCTTGACATTTATACTAGAAACAAGACAAAACACTAAGAATAGCTTTTTTGCAGTGTGTAATGCACACGAGTAACAACGTGAAGATGCTTTTATTTCACTGACAGTTTGACTGAAGATAACGCTGTGTTAATTCAAGCGATTCCAATGTCATCATAAGGAAAACACTACAAAATACAAATACTGATGTTTGTGAGCGTGGCTCAGTGGCGCCGCCCTCAGGCTCTCAGCGGCACTGCAGCACTGTCCTTCACACCGTAGATATGTCATTTACACACACACACATTCATATCAATGCTTCACACGCTCCGCGCGGTGATCCTCACACATCCACACTGTTTGACTCGTTACTGACCTCGTGAGGTAATCTCTGAACTCTTTACTGCGGAGATGATCCACGGCTTTACGCGCCAGAGTTCCAGCCATTGTCCGTCAGGAGATGATTACAGGACGAAGTGAAGTAAACAGTAAACACTGCTCGCTGCTGCAGCTACGCGACGTCAGCTAGAGGACAGAGTCACGCAGGCGCGCTGACGTCATTTCCTGCGTAAACGTGTACTCCAGGCAAATGTAAAGCCCTCAGAGCACTGGAAACAAAGCTTTAGATACACTTGTGAAGGAGTATTTGATGCTAATGAATGCCATTCGCTCAGAACTTAGAAAATTGTAAGGAAATGGTATAGATGAAAAAAAACTAATTTATATTTTAGTCTTA